CATTATCATAACAGTAAAGTTTGCAAATTCAAATATTTATTTTAATCTAAATGAGAATTGTCATGTTAAAAAAAATAAAAATATTGCAGAAAATTAAATTTTTATGGAAAGTATTGATATAGAATGAATAATGATTTGTATGTATGCATTAGAACGTCTAAAAAAAATAGTATCGCTTGTTTATGTGATATAGTGATATAATGCCAACCACATTTCATTAATTCCATTGAATAATATATATACATGTGACAATAACTCAATCAAATAGAATATAGGAATACAAGGCTAGTAATTTATCAAATAAAAGGCTTACTTCAGCATAGTTTCTTTCAATATTTCCTCATAACACATCAATATCTTTAAAATATTTATGATGTCCCTATATAATTAAACTGGAATTAATATATTGTTTCTGAATACAAGATTGAATATAAGAGGTGGTATCACAACGGACATTCTGTTCCATAAAGTGGTCAACATTCTGATTGCCACCGTAGTTGTATGAGTTTCTTCTTGCATGATTATTGATCATAATCTTAACATGCAGTACTCTTATACAAGGATTAGTGAAAAAATTATCATTCTGTATAAATCTTCAAAGACCTGTATACACCTCTAATACAAATAAGAAGCAACAAGAAAAAATAACTTTCCTTGCGATTATTGTTCATCTTCTTAGCACCTATTTTCTGTTCGTTCGATTCATATTTTTTCAAATTTGAAAGATCTACTTTTAGTTTATATAACTCTTTTTTGAAAACAAAAGTAAAATCAGCTTGTTTTGATCAATATTCATAATAGCCTAAAAAGCTATAATCACTTGGTTTGACTCTGTCAAAATAAGAACTCCATGATGCTGATTCTGGTTTTTCCGGCATTGTTAGAGAGCGAATCTATTTTTTACTGATCAAAACAAAAATAACGATAAATATACTGTATGCAGTCAGGGCATATTCCAAATTTAGTCATTAATGATCTGCACCTTATTGTCCGAAGGACATTATGGTAGAAATATAGTGATCCTGATATTTGTATATGTATATGCAAATCCTGGATTTTAATTGGTTGATCAGATCAAAACAATTGAAAATAGCCATTTTGTCGAACTGATTTGTGTTGGTTTTTCCTTCAGACTTAAAATGGTTTTCAATTAGCTAGTTTAGGGTACATCTAAATAATAGAAATTTGTTTTTATTAGATGATCTACACAAATTCTGATTGGCCAAAAATTAAAAGTTAATACATATTATTTCATAATGCTCGTAAATCTAGTAAAATTCATAAGACGATTAATTTTTTAATCATCTTATCTTGCTCACGTGAAATTTAAAACGTTTATTCAAAAAAATTTTTGACTTTTATTAGTTACTTCACTTTAAAAACTAAAAAACACATATTTATAATACTGTACTATGTATTAATATTGTCAAAATAGCTTCTAATAAAAGTTGGTAAAACACTTGATCTCACTTGATCTCTAACGTTTATATGAAAGTTAAGTATCCAAAAAATAATCTGACAAAATTTTAGGCAGTTTTGATTATAAAAATTTAACTACGTCTTATTAAATAAAAATTTCTATTATAAACTAATATAAAAACTCGTATAACAATACTTTTTAATATAAAATAAATAGCTAATCAAAACGAACTTCCATTATGCTTGTCTAAAGCTATATGCATTAAAGTTACTTTTTTGATGCAGTTAGGATTACTTTTTGATACAGTAATAGTTAGTGATTTATATAAGTATCAATAAGATAATTTATGTAGCATATAGATCATTTTTAAATTTATATCAAACATACACAGCTTTAGATGATTCCCTTTATTTAGGATTATTTAAAGCGGAGCAGAATCATATGATATCTGACCAATCAAATTATTCCTTATACCATAAAACTCCAAGCTTGCACAGTTATGTCGACAATATAAAATAGATTAAAAGTCTGACAAAAATTAATATCAATCATCAGGATATCCCTTAAACTGTATTCCAGGCAAATTTGCTTAGAAAATTTAATTGTATTTAGTATTTTTTAAATAAAATAATAATTTAT